TTTCATAACTTTCTCGCATAAATCAGGCAAAATTTTACCGATAGAAAGAGGTATGCAAAATTTTGAATTCCACAAAGGTTTGTGGTTTCTGCAAATCTGTAAATTAAGAACACCCTCAAAAAAGTCTAAAGGAGTTACGCTGCACTTGCTTGAGGGACAGATCACATAACCTCTATGTGAGTTAGTGATGCCCTTCAGTCACTCGAGCAAAATCTCCAATGTGCCATGAGCTATGTAGCCCGTAGCATCTTTCTGTTGGAACTATATATGCAGAACATCTAATTCAGCTTAAATTAGGTTAGGACTAACCACTCGCCGTTGCCAAGGATATATGTAGTATGATTGCAACAGATCATGCATGTCGTTAAAGTACGGTTGAATCCAATTTTTTACTGAAAAGGTGATTCTTTACACCAAATTGAGTTATATCTTGGTAGGACGATTATGGCGACCGAAAAATGAGAGACGTGAGCACGGCAATACACGAACAAGACATAAATAAAAATAATTTGACGTAAGCTGCAACTGATGTAGTATCAATATATAAAAGGGCCCATATTAATGGTTAGAGTTTGGAAGTACCTTTAAAATGACCCTTAACCTAAGACAATGTAGAAAGATCTCAGTATATCTAGGTTATACTGGAGCATTTGATAGCAGCTTATCTAAACTTCCTCATTGAATCTTCTAGAATACCGTCTGAAATTATACATTATGCACATCTTTTATGTGATTCAAAGTCTTCCTTACTTGAATTCCTTACCCTCCAACTTCTATAATTCCATTATCTCAAAAACGATCAGATGCAATAGCTGAACTTCTTAGGTTCTGATATTTCCATAAATATCAGAGCCTACGGAAGTTCAACTGTTTAAGTAATCTTTTACACTTATTATTAATCATATCTACATTTTTATTAATACTTTTAAATATATTTGACATTAGAATAAATTCAATAATCAATTTTAACAAACACTTGAAAACCTAATTTACTAGTTTTAGTACCAAGTGCAGTCGAGCTCTTATTATTAATAATAATTTGATCCCGTTTGAAGAGCCCGTTTGAATCTTCTATTGAATTTTGATCCTAATTTATGATTAAGCCTAAAAACGTAATAAGTTAAGGAAGGTATTTCATATTATTTATATTGATTATTTTCCTATTTACAGGGTGACTGGTGAATTACTATCAATTTTTAAGGAGAATACTCGGTACATGATTCTCATTCGAATTATGTAAAAAAAATAGGTAGGTACTTAATTTTTGACCAAATTTCCGTATAAATAAATAAAGTGTGGAAACGTTCCAAGTGTGGACGCGTGCGGTGGCGTGCTGATACAACACCACGCCGCCGCACGCGTATATGTGTGTGTGTATACCTAATCTGTAGGGTGTTCCCACGATGCGTAATTAATTACATAACTTTTGGTTAACTTTACTTAGAAGTTTATTAATATTTATGTTATATTAATTTTTATTTTGTCATATATGATCGTCAAATATCACGTCCTCAAGTATCGATAGCAATTCACCAGTCACCCTGTATATAATTATATGGATAATTAAGAAGGTATCATTTTAAAGATAATAACTGCACTGCCAAGGTTACAAGAATTCTATTTACAACAAATCTTTATTCATACATAAGGCTTTTTTTTATTGCGGAAGTGAAAAGATAATCCTTAAATACAAGTTACTTCGTGTAAGAAATGGAAAAAACATTGTATGAATTCCAAGCAATATTTTTAAAGCAAAAAGTTATAATACCTAACATTTCATTCAACTTAGAAAATTGACATCAGTAGCTCAAAGTCGCATTTAAGCTGGGTTTTCTTTCAGGATTGAGAGACTGACATATTTCAGTTCTTCAAAGCGACTTCCCGAATATTGATCAGTCGAATCTCTCATACCGCAGCGCCAGATGCTCACTGAAAATTACTTTCAAATAAATCTGCTGAGCTTTATATAATATACTATAATGTACTCACGTCCTAAAACGCGCTGAGCGACAATACGAATAATAATTTATTTATGACAAACCGCGATTGCGTTTTATATTTTACAGCGCTGTAAAAACAGGCATCCTTTTTACGCGCTTTATTTCTCATTTTACTGAGGTTTAAAGCTACTTAATAATTTATTTTCATATGATGGTTGTCTTTTCCGATATTCCAATAATTATACCTTTGCTTAAAACGAAATACGGATTTCCCGTATTAATATGTTTAATACCTAATCATCATAACATCTATAACATTTTCCGGAGATTAAGATAAAATAGCTAACCACTTCTTCTACAATTCCAAAAACAAATACGGTGTAATATCCCAACACATGTATGTCACAATGTAACGTCCTCAAAATAATGTATATACATAGTTAATTATTATCCTATATTAAGTAAGTTCAAGATATTTGAACACATGAATCTAAAAGTGATTTCTTTTCATTTCATTCATTATTATTTCCTAACCTTTCAATTATTTTTCAATAACTGTGATCACAGAAACACGAAACGTCTCCTGCATACAAATATAACTGGAAGTCGTTATTACGAAATAAACAGGGGAGTCGTATCCAAAATCTTTGAAAAAGAATATATTCTAATGAAAGTAATAGTATATTTTTCTTATAAAAAAATATATTTTATATCCCTCCTTATTTAAAGATAGACTTCATCCACATTTACAATAATTGACCAGACGACATTTTTTTTGCTCCTACAAAACTATTTTATAGATAAGTTTAACATTTATCGACGTTATTCGTGTAAAGAAAATATATTGAAGGGTATTTTACGACAGTAACCGCAATGTTACTTATAGCATTTCGTCCTTTCTTCCGCTTCTTCTTTCCCTTTTTACTTCTCAGTGAAATCATATCAACTCGTATTTTGATCTATTATAAAAGTATCCATTGTAGAATTAAAGTGTTTATCTTCTTGTCTTCTCATTTTTTTGAGATAATAAATCCACAATATTATTGAAATGTTTTTAATTAAGAATTTTCTAATAGCTATACCTTTATTCGCAATATTCTATCTTTACTCTATTTTTTATATGATATTTGATTTCTTATGCTGTGTCTGTATCATTTCAATTTTGCATTTAAGTGTAAATATATACCCACAAATTTATTCTGCGGTGCTTTCAAATTTCTACTAAAATTTTCTATATGTAGGAAGTAAGATAACCCTAACGTTTATTCTAAATTGCTTAAAACAATAGCAGAATCAAAAGTATCGTTCAGTATGGCTATATCATTATCATATTTATAATACTTTCACTTATACAAACATTCCATTTGGATACTGTTTATAAATTCTTCATTTTTAATTATAATATTTTCACTTTATAATATAGTCATTTAATATTTGACAATTTTTCTCTATTTATTCTAAATTTAATTGGTCCACGTATATAGAAATTAAAATTAATAATTTAAAAACAGATAAGTAGCATTTTCATACGTAGGAAATAAAAACCCCAATAGAATATATATATTTTTTTATTTTAAAATGTCATAAAATGATATCAACATCTTTAATTTAACATTGATAAATAGTTACCTTAATACTAAAATGCGATTAACATGACTATTTACATAACATACCTAATATTGTCTGATTAATTATTGTCTTTAATTTTACTTTTATAATCTTAAGATACCAAAAACTGTTTTTCCATAACAAATATTGTATTCCAAATTCAATACGCTTTCCTTAATTAATTTTTGATATATGTATATTGTGTCCAGAATATAATGTTTTATTATTGTAATTTAAAATATACTATTTATAAAGATTTTCAGAAACACGTACTCTATGATCTAATATTTCATAATATACATAAAATAAATATTTATGCTATGTTTTCAAAATTCAAAAATGTTCGCAAAAATGGCACAAGCAATCTATTTGTAGATAAAAAAATCCCTCCTATTTACTAGACTTCATTAAATCAGTACAGTGATGTTTCAAAGCATAATTATGCTAGTTATCTAAATCTATCGTAAATTCTTCGCAATTTCCAATACACTTTCATTATATACTATAATACATAGTAGATGTTCAAAAGAACCATTACGAGTACGCTCGTAACTTTGAACCGACTCACCTTTACAGCTATTCGGAAGACAATTTTTTTATGTATAGCATCGTTTCGTTTCCTATAATGTAAAATAAGTTACATAAAAGCGGAGACTAATGTCACTTGTTATTATATATTAAAAGATGTAACACGTCCCAAAAAACAACTTAGCAAGCAGCTACAACGTTTATGCTTTTAGTATGAGATACATATAACAAAAACTATCTAAACATTCTCATTAGTTCATTAATATTACATATGTAGGAGTTATCAGTTGTTATAAACGTACTAAATGGATAACCTCTCCAGTTTTATTTAGCTCATACTACTGATAATCTCATATTTAATACAAGTTTTACAAATATACCTTCATTTCTTTGGTCTCTGTTATTGTCATTACATTTACAATCGTATTGTCATATTCAATTTAATCTAAATTCGTAACATGCATTACTTACACGCAGTAATATAATATTAATTATAGACATAACATGATTAAGAACGTCATTAGTAGGTAATTAGTCTCTAGACCGTACTAGGTTTAAAAATTTGCATAAATTGTTATTACAAAATTCACATCAAAATATATCATATTGCAGGAATAGTTTTAAACAAAACATGTTAATCGCTATGAAAATAATATTTCTAAAATATTCAATAAAAGTTGATATGGCCCTTTTGATATTGCATCTAATCGCATATGTACTTTGGACTCGAAACGTACATGGATTGTATTTATTGTCTTTTACTTAAATTATACTTAAATTAAAGCTGGTATCTACCTTACAATACAGACTGTCAGTTACGATTTACACAACAATGTCAACATTGTACAAACAGAATCGTCTTCAACAACCTTTAATCTAATAATTCAACAGCCATTTTTATCACCTATTATATAAAAATATAGTTTACAAGAACGCTAATATTATCAGTACAAAGATAGATGTTTCATATCGGGATGCTTTGTTATATACGATGTAATGTCGTGGTGGCCCCGAAGGTCGTACTTTTTGTCGTTCGGTTCTCTGAGCGTATTCATTATGAGAATTATTTCCGTGGGTGTTATAATTGTAAACGCTTATAGAATTCCCGTGCATCAGTTCAATATCAAGTGCGTTCTTGTTTCTGTCCGGTTGTTTCTTGTAGTGTCGTTTCGGCGAGCGCGTGGTAGCAACGACCGTGGTTGTGATCATCTCCGTTGTAGTGGTCGTGGTTGTCGTTGTGGTCGTGGTCGTCGTCTTCTGCGGCGTTTCTGATGAAAAACACAAGATATTTTTAGTTCGTTTTAAGTCATAATTATATGTTATGCAAAATTAAAGTTTTTGGGCGTAGTAAAACGAACTAGCTAGCAAATATATATTTTCGGACTTCATTTAAAAATATTATTAAAAAAATATATTTTTCATCCGACTTTCAATTATTTCAGAATAATTGTGTTTAACTCAATTAATGAATGCGAATAACTCAATTTCAAACACACGACGAAAGTATGCAAGTAGCATCCGAAATATTTTCAAATCTAAATGTAGTATGTGTGTATACGTGTAAATATATTTATTTTATATCAGAAGTTCCGCAGTTGATTACGAGTGATATATTGTGTAAATGTTATCCGTCTTATGATAGATTTTCTGAGGTCAACTTAATAATTATAGGAACTCTTATTCTGTTGCATAAAATCTTTATTTGTTCAAAGTCATTATCATAAAAATGCTGATCTTTACACATTACCGAATTCGTAGATCGAAGGGAATAAGTAAATAAATATAAATAATAAAGGAAATGAAGTCGCCAAAATAGCGTTTCTTAAGCATATGAATATTAAATTAGGTACTGATATATAATAAATTAAAAAATCCACATCGCAAATAATTATGAAAACGATGAAAAAAAATCTAGTTGCAATAGAAAAAATATAAAATTTAACATGACAATTATGTAAACGTTACTTTTGGCTACAATACACATTTAAAGTACATATTTAAAACAAAATATGAATGTCGATAATAATAAACATGAAAACAAACCTTTTAACATTATAGTAACATTCGCCTTCCCATAAGCATTAGCTGCGGAGCAGGTATATTCCCCGAAGTCGTTCCTTTTGAGGCGGTTTATCGTCAGGTTCATTTTCATAGCATACTCGTTCAGGAAATCTTCCGATATTATGTACTTGGAACTGTTCAACAGCTTTGCACCTGTGACGTAATATGCTTACATTTTTATTGTGTACTGAATTCATACGTGAATTCTCTGACGAAATATATTCTTTATTCTGCTTACTACTTACATAAATATACTTTTCTTTTTATTTAAATGAAGAGATAAAATTCTCGTTAGTTTAAAATTTCTTTGTTAGATGTAACTTAAAAACTTTTTAGTCAAAGACAATGTTAAAACAAAACAGGATGTTATAATGAGACGATGCTTAATTTTAAAATCTATAAATAATTATATATATCTTTAATAACAAATTAAGTTCTACTACCATTATTATCATGAATTATTTTTGTTGAATCAGAGACACGTTAAAAAGTTCACTATATAACATCGTAGTCTAATTTAATTTGCTGAATAACCAAATATCTGAATGTTTTCAACATAACCATTTTATGCAAATATAAATACACGCCGAAAATAATATTAATAAATAACTCTCTTGATCTGAAATCGAATTCAAAAAGGTGTCTATTTTGTTTTTTCGTTAAAAAAACTAGCCTTCTGTAAGCCATTTTTAAAAAATACCGAAGAAAACGTGTTCATGTTATAAAGTGAATTCTTTTAACATTTTTAAATATCTGACTTACGGCTTAATTTGAATATAAATTTTTTGAATACAAAGCGTGAGTACCTGTTTGTGATTTCCCACGTTGCCACATTGTCAGAGCTTTTGGGGAGGCTTCCACGTAGCATTGGAGTGTGACTTGCATGTCTGCGGCACGCCACACAACCAAGCTGGCAACACGCACGATCGGCTCGACTGGTGATAACAAACACATGTATGTCTGTGCCATCCAACTAGCTCCTACTACTACATGACATGCCTACTACATTTCATGAATGCGTATAATTCTGAAATTTTTACGTAGTGTTCTTTGAGCATAATTTCAACAATATTTTAATATAATGTAAAATGATTAATTTTAGCGCCATCTTTTATCACGTCTGTAAAGTCGTTCAGTGCTGTTTCTGATGAAATAAAGCTTGCATTGCTCTACATATATGACAAATGTATGAGATTTATATAATGTTAGTAGATGTAAATTCGATTAAAAATGTGATTATAAAGACTAACCTCTTAAAATATTACCTAGGAAACGTTTGATATGCACATGTTTGGAATAAAATACATACATCAAATGTTACAAAGTGTTACTATTACTTTGTTGACGTTGGACCAGAAATTATATAAAAATTACATTGTATCTCATATCTAATAAAAAATGCAAACGACATATTTAAAAATACCTATATACTAATCAAATCAATGGAAAAACAAGTCATTATTTTTATTATTTAATAAGTGAATGTAACAGGACACTTACAAAACACAGAAACTTCATATCTTCGACTCTTCGTGGGTGGAATTCCGTTTGCAGCTATGCAGAGATATGTACCCATATCTGTCCGCTTAAGGCCCCGCAATGATAACGTAGAACCTACGTAGCTTTCTACAACTATAATGAAAAAGTTATAAATAAAGATTAGTTTTTGTATGAAAATACCAAATGTGTGGTAAATATCGCAACGGAAATGTGGGATTATTTATTGCAAGCTAAGAACCACGAGGATTTTCTACATCTAAGAAAATGTTTAAAAACAATAAACAACGTGTACACTTGGTAGACATTAGTTTTATTAATTTGATTTCTTTGCAAAATATCCGTTATTTGAGAAGACTTTACAAGAATAAACATCAACTTAATCAAGGTACTAAGTAAACTAGGAATAGAAGCAATTCATATATGTCACTGATTAGAATTGTACTTCATTCTGCATCTAAATTAAATAGATTTCAATAAAAGTAACCGAATAAAATAGTCGTGTATATTAATAAGTTAATTTATTGAACTCACAAAGTTATTATAAGTTATCATAAATAATAATGAATATCAAATATGATCTAAATCAACCGAATCATATTTAAAGTTTACTATTCAAATTAGGATCATATGTCAAAGGCAAATTCTCATTAACAATCTAAATAAACGTTGAGTTCTTCTCTTACGCTGTGTAATCACAAACACCTGCTACAGTTATTTATTACTTGTAATCACACTGCAAAATTAATATTAAATATATATATTTATTAAAATAAACATGTGTGACGTTACATATAATATGTATATTATGTGAATAGTAAGAGGATGTTTATCCTGTTTATTTCAATCAATGACGTCCTTAACTTCAGTTATAACGACACAACTCAAATATTACTCATTAGAAAAAGCATGCTTCATATATTTATAGACAAGCCATAAAGGAAAAACCGCGTAATCTCAGCGCCAACAATGGGGAGGCGTTGCCAAACCAATGTTCGCCAGATGTAAACTGTACGAGAGTAATTTACTTCTACGAGCCTTTTGACACTCAGCACTCTAACGATCGACCATAATGATAATAATATAACTAACAAAAAATTAAGCAAACGGGTTCATTAAATTCTTTAAAAAATAAAATTCTGGCAAGTTTTGAAATCCATATAACTAAACTTCGAACAAATTATCTCTTTGCTGTGCTATTCCTTCCTTTGTCATACGATAAGAAATATCTAATTTATTTATTTATTCTTAATAATATTAATAAAAAACTATCGAAACAATCTAACCAAAATGATTAAAGTAATTTCATAAAAAGGTAAAACAGTGATAAAGGCAACCAATTCCTTTTTAAACACACAGTTTAAAATCAGTTTTGTGGGTTGAAAAAATTGTTTACGAAGAACTTGTAAGCTCTTGTGAATACAAAACACTGAACAGTTTCTTATAAGGAAAAGATGTTGTAGCAAGTTCAAATAATAATTAAGAATTTTTAACAAAATGGACCTGTCATAATGATATATACGTACATGATAATATGTGCGTAACATAAAACTTTGTCACAATATTAAGATATTTTATTGTCTTTCAAAGACATGAAATTTACATTAAAAATAAAATTACTATTAATGTAAAATTAAATAGATTTCAATCAAAGTAACATAAAGTCACAGCTTGCACTATTAGTTTATTACTAAAATTTGAGTACGTACGAGTATGTAAGTCAAAAATAATTCTTACACTCAAACACTGACGTGGTACTTCAATACGTGAGAATAATAATTAATTTAGTTTTAATATAATAACTTTTATCTTTCAGACTTTAACAAGAAGTATTCGATGATATAGTAAGTATTTATATTACGTAAACTTTTCATGTAAGAGGCAACCCGCCTAATTTAATACTGTCGTGTTTATCTAATAAGCGGAAGTGACGCCAGCAACATGCTTGAGGCATCATGTTTACGAACAGTGACAAGATTTTTTCACCTTAAGTCACGCAATAAATATAAAATTAACCTTAAATTTATAAAAAAAAATACTTCTCTGGTAGCTACATAACTTCAATGATTAGTCGATTTAATCCATAGTACATGAAACCGTGTCAAAGTACAAAGCCTAATTATAAATATTTTGCTAACATAAAACAATTTCATTATTTTATTAAAACGTCTAACTAACGTTCTAAACGCAAACTAACGTCAAAGCGTAATTCAGTTACTCGCTTTATGTGAGGATACGGATATCGATGTCTATTCGATTATAGACGGCTTTAACGACGTTAAAAACATTATTGATGCGGTAGCTCCAACTTGTATAATATTTGTTTATTTTCATACTTTAATATTAGTTTACCAACACAGCAAGTTTATAGCGAGTGAGTTTGTATGAGTAAGTTATATCATTCTTCTTTAGTAAGAGATATATACATATTTAAAATTTAACCCTTTGGAATCGGTAACTATAAAATCAAACGAACTATACAAAGCTAATAGTCGGATTCATTCGAAACAAATTTCTCCAAGTTAATCTTAATTAAGCGTCGCTAATCTTGCGTACTTTAATCAAAACATTGCCCGGGTAATTCGGCGTTTAACGAAGGCTGTCAAATTAAATTTAAATGGAAACAATTTATAACTTTATTATGGCATACGACCTCGATCCTAAATCTCGGGCGTAGACGTAAAATACTGCGTTATGTACGGCGGGCACAGCGATATAAATAATTTAGGCTATACCAGGCTTTATGTCATAAGTAATAAGAAACACAAGTGTGTTATGCGGTATACTGCCTGCATGAAATTGTGTTTTATTAACGGGTTATAAAGTTGGAAGGCTACACGTCGTTGGCAACTTGTTACTCGATTCGCCAACGATTTAGCAATTTACCGTCATTATTACTCACGGGCTAATTGTTTTCCGATTTCATTAAAGCAGTCTCTTATTTTTATTTTCCTTTGTTAAATGAACTATTAAAGCAACTTAAATCGTGTTTCAGCCAAGAAATAAGCTTCTTATTTCTTTTTCATACACTTAAATATAAACATAAAGTATTGTTTGGATTCAAAAATTTGCACATTGTTATTGTTAAATTATTGATTTGAATTATAAAGCAATTATTTTAATTAAACTTGATAATATGCAATCACTTTGTAATGTTTTGTGATAACTTAGTTAATTAACTTGACGCCAGAGTCTGCCCGTCGCTCTACAGAGATTACTAATTGTAATTAACTTATCACATTCATGTGAAGATCACGATACATCTAAAACATAACTAGAATTAATTCGTATAACTACATTCTCCTATTTATTTATAATATGCAATGCCGTTTACAGTTTAAATACTTTAATACAATTCTCTTTATATTTTATATAACTCTTGTACCAATTAGTAAATATTAAACAAAATATAATTATAACATCTAACGATATTGTTATAAAATGTAACGTTTAATTATGAGAGTCATGTATTTTCTTACTCAATAGCAACAGAGAAATGAAACGGAAGAGGAAACCAACCCAAACGGCAATCCTTATTTGTTGAAGCGTGTATAACACGTCCAATTAATACTAAGGCAACGCTCCCTAACTATAACAACCCTCTGTTTACCCACCACCGCTAGTCTTTTGTTTACGTTAAATGACTTAAATAAAACGGGTCAAATTCCTAAAGCCATCTCTGAAAAGGATTCCAGTATGTTAATTCAATTTGCACCTAATGATTATTTCAATAAAGTATAATTTTAAAATGTTATTACGAAATACAGTAGTAGTTCAATAATTGAGTTCATTGGTTGTAATTTTTTTACCTTTCGTTTTATGTAGCATGTTCTTTATACTTAAGTACTAAAGCAGTATTCACTTAGCCACTCGCCGTATTTAATTTCCTGACCAAAACCCCGATTGCTACACTTTGTTTAAGCTGTAATTGAGTTCTTTGAGATCATTCTTTTTAAAGGAAATTAATCCCGATCACGACTTTGAAGAACACTTTATTTTCTTAAATTAAAAATAAAGACAAGCCGACTGGAAAAAAAACTCCGTTACATTCTTAAACACATTTAGAAGATAAATATTATTGGAGTGAATAAATATTGTGATAGATGTAATTATATTATAATAATATTGAACATTATTGTCACTTTATTTTACGTTATTCTCAATATAGCAGGGACATCTTCGTAAATCTCATAAAACTCCAATATTTTAAACGCTATAGCACCTGCGTCCTCTTCGGGCGGGATTTGAATGCAAAATTAGTCTTGTTTTGTTTTTTACCACTTAATACAATCCCCAAAACGAATAAAATGTAATGGAAAAGTTTAATAAATAATCCCCATGTTTACGTAACAATAAAATTATATACTAAAAATAGACTTTATCCTTGTTAAATTATAATGTTATAAAATCGTAATTCTATAGACTTGATTATTACGATAAAAATGTTGATAAAGGTATATTTATGTACCATATCTTCTTAATATATAAAATTCTCGTGTCACAGTTTTCGTGCCCATACTCCTCCGAAACAACCTGACCGATTTTGATGAAATTTTTTGTGCTTATTCGGTAGCTATGAGAATCGGCCAACATCTATTTTTCATCCCCCTAAATGTTAGGGGTAGTCCACCCCTAAATTTTTTTTTTTTATTTTTTAGACAAAATTTTTAATTACTATTTTTTTATGATACAACGTACAAAAATACATACAATCCTAAATTTTCACCCTTCTACGATCAACCCTTATTTTTTAATAGCTATTTTAGTAATTTAATCATTTTTCATCTCCGGTCGATAACTGATCAATCGTCATTTAATAAGTTATCCCCGCCAGATATCTACAGGTGTCACTTCTGACCCAGTAAACAGCACGGAGTAGGATGATGAGAACGAAGCCGGTCTTCTGTTTCTCTCACACAATTAGACTTCTCTCACTCCCTACACAGTTGTCGGCCATCGTTATTGTTTGTGCATCAAGTGTAGTAGTAACGTTGACAATTATTATTTTGCTAGCTCAGTGTAACTCTCATATTAACTATTAATCATTCCTAATCACTTCAAAACACGGAGATTTATGGCTTTAATAGGTAAACTCCAAAAATATAAATAAAAAAACGTAACAGATATTTCTTGATTATAGGGCGAAACGAAGTTCGCCGGGTCTTCTAGTAAAACTACAATAAATATATTTAAACTATAATTATATTTTAAAAAAATCAGTTTAGATCGTACCCTTAATTTCTTTTCCACTGTCATCTCGAAATATTATGTTCCTTCCACCGGATCTTTTCCACGACATTGTTGGTTCCGGAACACCGGTCGCTGTACATCTCAGTTCCACGGAACCTCCTTCTGTTGCACCAGCCTCTGAACCGTCATCGTCTGCTATGTCCGGCGGGATCACGACCGATAGATGACCCATCTAATATAAAATTAAAAATAAATATATACACACAACTTTGGCCTCAATACTTATTTAAATTGAAACATAATATTTCAAATGGACGTAATATAGATGTTCATAAAAATATAATACCTTTTCATACTTCATTTTCTTTACAAAGAAATTCATAGAACAACATATTGTTGTACATCTAAAATGTTTATTATAGCGCTTTAGAACAACAGATTATAACTAAACATATTACTTTTAATTAAGCCTGATAGATGTTAAACATTTGTTTCAGTCGAAGATAAAAACTGGACCGTTATTTCATTACGTTTGTCTTTTTATACCATTATTTGTTAAGTCTCCTTACACACGATAATTTTATACACAGAATGTAAGAAAATTTTTCTTTTCTAAAGAGCATTATAATGTATTCATGTATTCTATTTAAATTCAAAAGGTTTTATTTTAAATTAATAATGACATATTTCGTCAACCATAAATTAAGTCAGGATTTTTGGAAGTAAATAATGAAAATTAATGATTTTATTTGATAAACAAAAAATACTAATTGTTATCAATGAGCTGTTTGAAACTTTTACATTGATTTGCTGGTTGACTTTATGTTACTATGACTCGCCCACAAATTCAGTTTTATATTGTTGCCTTCTTGTAATTCCTTTATTACGGAGGTTGGTTGTTACTTTTAAATAGTAGCAATAATTTAGAAGATAAAATTTACTTAACACGAATCAGTGATATCTATGTGGTAAGTTGGACATATTTTTAAAATGATCAAATCTATTAGAAGAGCTTGAAATGTTTTGAAATATTAATTTTTATCATATGAAAGATTTATATTCTTAGACAAACAAATATTTTCGGTTACATTTTAATTTATAAATGAAAACCTATTCAGCGTCTCGAAGGAAAACAACAAGTAAAATTATAACTTAATCCCGTCTCTGGGGGGGAAAACAAGCAGTACGCTGGCAACTAGTTTCCTACTGGCATTATGTTATTATAACTGGAGCAAGATTATTGTAGATATTATTAAACTATCTGCTAGACGGAGTTGGAAGTTATTCTGACACGAACAAATAGATAGCTGTTATAAATGGTATTCCAATCATAGAACTTCAGAGGGATAATGATTATTTTACTCATACAAAAGTATATATTATCAGGAAGTGAAAAATTGTCAAATGATTTTTTTATCATTACGTATCAAAGACGTTTATTTTAAATTTATTTTTAAGCAGTGATAACCTTCTTTTTGTCCATCATGAAAACAGAAACAAAATTTAAATTTAAACTCTCTTCGTGCATCTCACATAAAGACATATAGCTCTTACAGAACACGCACAGACTTTGACTAAATTGCGATAGAATCTGAAGTGACGGCATGCCTCACAAATTTATCAAGATAGTTGCACGTTGGGAATACACTAGTTCTTAGTTCTTTACGAATAAAAACTATTATCCGGCGAGACATTCCCATTTTTCGATATCCCCCGAACAGTATCCGTATCAGCTTGTTTTTTTCGACGATACATTTCCTTCCATCCACGAACGTGATCGAATTTCGTCAACTAAATCTAATCTGTCCGACACAACACAGACAGGAAGATTTTTTGCTAAAGTTTCAATCCATTATTTAAACGAGTAATAAATAATATTATAGTTAGTAATACTATGTTTATATATAATATTAGAAGATTGAACCATATTACCGTCGGAATATACCCTGCTAAATATAAAATATTATAACAGAAATAATTTACAAATATTATAAATATATATTTTAAATTCATAAAGAAGAATGTCGGGAATTTCATTTCATAACTACAGGATCCTATGGCATCTTGAAAATCGTTGAATACACGTCGCTGGACGTACTTTGACAAAATTTCTAGCAAGAGCTGAACACGACTGAATGGGTCACATTCCGTTCCAAATATGCAAAAGTTATATTTTAACAACATTTCATACCCGACAACTTTGCCTCCAAAGTAGTTGGTTATGAAATATTAACGATCACTGTCTTTTTATTGCAGCAGTTTTTCTTTAACGAGCGAGTTCAAAAAGTGAAAAGTTTTTGACTCTGGTTTCCGCTTTAAAAATTATTATTAAATTGGGTTTTAATTTATTTTTATAAAGCGCTTATAGCTTTAAGAGTTTTAGAAATGCTTAAGATTCAGTATAACTACTTTAATAATATATGTATATAGCAGGGTGAGTGTTTTTGTGTGTATTCATTAATGTAAAAACATATATATATATAAAGATTAATTAAATCATAAACATTAAATTACATTATTAAAAACCTTACATATTAAATATAAAAATTAGAAAGTTTCAGAGTTATTGAGGTTTCTATTTTTGTGTCATATAATATAAAATTGGTGCTATATTAATTGAAAATGAAACAGCATCAGTTTATTTTACACTGACATAACATGTTAAATAGATTTCATTTTTCACTGCAGTGTAAATTTTTATACCTCCAGGCGGCTTCAGTCACATGAATTATGCAAATGGTTGAAGCGAGCGAATGGATCTTAGATTTACATCGAGAAGTGCACAACGAACTTCCATTATAACAAAATATGTAGTTAGAATGTTAATATAAGCATACAATAGCAATTAAAGTGAAATTATTAGCAAATGAATTATTTTTAAAACAACTGCTTATTACTTTAAATTATTTTTCTTTATTTATTGAGACGCTAGTTTTCTGTAATTTTTACTAAAAAACCAGGTATTGGAAGTAAAACTATCAGGTATTTTAGGTTATATATGTAGTACTTGGATAAAGGTTATTCTTTCTTACACATTTGAAAGAAAACGTTATTAACTGAACCAAATACATCACAGCGTAATATATCAAAAGTCAACTTCAGTGCACTGGGCATGGTGGTCACTAAAAGCATCTTGGACGTGCTCAAATGTGAAGCAATTCTTATACTTCAAGCATATTTTAAAAAGTTCTTTGTTATTTCAAAGAATTAATTTCTTAAAAAGAAATAATTTATTACTAAAAATCTGTAAAGCAACACACAATAATCAAGTCAATCAATCAACAGTACATACACATATTCTATATTTTAAACCTTCCTATTGAGATTTCAATAATATTATACAAACAGTTAACCATATTATTTTTATAGAAACTTTTGAAAATATGGTTGAATATTTATCATCCAACCATTAATATCAATAGGCCATCTGGTTTCACAATCTCTTAAGCCGCGTCCATTTGACAAAAGCGCTAGTTGCCGGCACACAAATTGTAGGAAACCTTATTATCAAGGTGGAGCGTACATTTTCCAAAAGATACATAATGTTACGTCAGACCAATTATTTGGGGTTGAGCAACTGACGTGAGCTATGATGGACGACCGCCGGCTGTTTATTACGTTTTTTGCTATCGACCTATTTATGTTTGGCAGACTCGACGTAATTATGTTTTCAGTTATATGCGACTGAATTAACTTTAAACGTTTCGTTTTTACTTTAATGTGAAAATTCACTTTGATTTCGATTTTTATTTATTCAACAGAATTCCGCGTAACGTAACATGATAATAAATTTTAATGAGGCTTTTTATATCGCTATGAATACTTTTTGATTAAATTTTCTTCCAGTTTTAATTTTCATTACTTTTTACACATTTTTATGCTCAGTATAAAACTTAAAACCAAATGAAGAAAAACCTTTATCATGTATTCATCTCAGTTTTTGCAGAAACTTAAACTTAGACCCTGACACTTAGAAAAATGTTATAAGAAAGAAAATAGGCCTTAGCGAGGCACACCTGTAGAGTATAACAAAGAAACGCTGACTAATGCTTGCCGATTTTTCCCTAAGAAATAATTCACTTGTTGATTTCTTTCCTTTTATGTTTAGTTTTAATTCTAATAAAATAAAATTTTTATGATAATTCATATTCAATGATAAGGTGATCCAAATTTTTCTTTAATTGTTTTCCCATAATCACATAGTTTTCTTTAAAGCCCTTTTTTTAAACTGGTTAGATATCGAGATAAAAATTAAAAAAATAACATTATGACTCTCTTTATTATTTATTTTCATTAACTTCTCATATTACGGAATATAAATTTTTCCTGTAATAAAACCTTGCCCACATGAGTAAATTAATTGTTAACAATAAACTATATCCCCAATAATATCAGGTTACTAAAATCAAGCCGTACTTACGTGCGGCATAAAGCAAATTATAAGATAATTCTGTACGAGATTAAAGATAATCTCATGAGCATCGTAAATCCTTTATAGGAAGCTGAGCTTCCACAATTTAGGAGTGACAGAATTATGGCCGCTTTGTTAGGCTCTGTGTTATTATATTAAGGTCAAATAATTGTGTTATAACCGGTTTGGAGTTTACATTTCACGAGGTGAATTCCCAGGAGTAGTCTGATAAATTCCTAAGGTTCCAACAGAATGCTTACTACGACGTTAGTTGCGACATCGTAACAACTATGTGTCGAAGAATGTGTTTACGGTGCCAAGAACGAGTCTCTTTAGTGGGATTCCTAACTGATCGCTCTTATTCCGTTAGAGGTACGGCTTACTTTGTTAATAAATTAATTTGTTGTTCACGAGCTCATAATATTGTCTGTATTAAGTTTAAACTCTGTTATGTGCTTAGTAACTAAAAATTAATAGCGTCTTACGAATATCTATTTTAAATAAATAATGATTACAATTTTATTTATTCTTTTCACTTAATTACAACGGATTCAGTGTATTTAAATTTCCATACATATAATTATGTGAAATATAGAGTTCATTCACTGGAACACGTTCAGACGGACTTGGTAGTAAACAATCGCAAATCGCAATCGGACTTTAATCCTGGTCATAAAAGTAATCCGCACATAAAGTTACGCGACGATGGACAACGTAAGGGCTTGGATTTTCTCGCACAAAGATTTCGAAGTAATTAAGATAAAATGCCTGAAGTTTTATATGTAACCGGAGCTCCACTCGTTTTTCAACGCTCATACCGACTTAATCCTCGAGTATGCAATAAAGCTGCTAAAGTATTTGTGTTCCAAGCTAAATTACCCATATTGAAAATACCCTTCAGCGCTAACTGCCGGCAAAGGCTTATTTAAACATATCTCTATATCAGTATACAGGCATTCGTCCGCGAACGTTCTTACATAAAGTTAAGTAGTTACTTACATACATTGTATTCTAGAGAATTAAAAACAAAAGGTTTTTGTTCTATATTAATGTCGCATTTCAAATTAATTGAAATATTGAAGAATGTTGAGGGAAAAAAAGTAATATATTAGAATCTGCTTTTCTAGGATGCTATTAACCATTTCGTTTTTCAATTTTTTACAAAATCCGTTATTATAATTATTTTTAACTAGACGTACAACATACGTTTTACCATATTATATTTCTTTTAGTAGCGAGTAACCTTAAAATATATACAAAATAAGTAACATGAACTAAAACACACGGAATACATAAAACATCAGACAACAAATAAAACTGTCAACGAAGTGCAAAAATCTAAAAGAAAAGTCATCTATTAGTCATTTGTGTAACTCTAATCAATTCAAAATCCACAAAGCTTTTTATTTAAACAGCTTGATTTTTTGAGGGCCACATAAAATTGATATACCGACATTTTAACAATGCGAAGCATGGGTTCGCTGTAACGAGAAAAAGGGTTGAAAAAAGGTCATCTATCACAGATTTGTCAACAGAACGACGTCGATTTCCAAAAAACAATTAGTTTGTTGATATTTATTCAGTTGAGCAATCTATCACTTTATTATAATTACAGTCAAGGCCCGATGTTTAATCGTATTCATAGCACAAATAAATGATAATAGTAAAACCACCACACCAGATTTAACTTAATATTAAATAATTTATATCAACATTTTCATTATTTGTATGTAGTTACAATATTAAATTTCTCTTTTAACATTTACACAAAATATAAACGTAAGCAAAGATAACTTTCAGGCATTTTTAATTCGACCCGGTTACTTGCAGAATAAAAATTCACTAAACATTTTCCACTTGTGTGGAAAGAATGTTAATTGTTCTATTTTACTTAAAAAGACCTGACCGCTGCTGTTAAAGTTACAAAACACTTGAAAAATTTAGAAAACGAAATGTTCGGACTTTTGTATTAACATGAAAATCTTTTCGAAAATATTTGAGTTATTGTGTGGAACTTACAAATTTGCTTTAACACTTAACTAATGGTACTGCCTTGAAGTGCAAACATAAAAGAACCTTTTTCAGCCGTAAAGTAGCAAAGAACCCAAGTAAATACTTTTCGTAGAAGAGTAATATGTTTTTCGAGATTCATACAATACAAATACACATTATGAAAATGTTTATGCGGAACCATATACTATTTTTATGTATCTTCTATAGCAAACAAAAAGTTAGCTTTTGACGAAAAAAGTATTTTTAGGCTCCATGCACAAGCTGACCTATATCAGAATTCGGAGGGTTATTAATACAAGCAAATAGTCAGTTAATGTAGATCTTAAAAAAAAATACCTACTTACTTCGTAATTCAGATTGACTATACAAAGTAATACAGATTCATAAAAACTGCTCAAAGCTTATATATATATTGATACCATGTTATGTTATTTCTAAGTAGCACAATTTATTTTATACACATATACATAATTTTTATAATAAATATAAAAGTATTATCTCTTCAAATATATCAACATAATAAACTATCGTATTTGCTTAGTACGGATATTGAAAATAAACTATTTTGTTAAGTAATTTTAAGTAATATTTTTTATATACAACAAAACCTAGTTTTATACTGAAATTTTGTAAATGTGAAAAAGCAATTTTTTACCCTTCACCTGTCTTTGATATTAATTTATATGTACGTATGTATGTAAATAAATATCATGAATGGTTAGCTGTCTTAACCAAAACAACGTTTTCCAAACTACTGGCTTCTGGTTATAACGTATAACCGAAACCAAGACCCTTCGGTCACATACCAACCTTAGCAAACATTTACATACCTTTACAAAATACCATGTCCCATCACAGCTATTGTCAACGTTACCCCAAGTTAAATAACTTAATAAGTGTCACTTCAGGTAGGTGGCTTGTAGAATTTAAATAACAAAAATAGTTTTAAACTCAATAAAACAGAATTAATACTCGTGTCAGCAAAAGATTTATAGAAACAAATTTATTGTACTATCGCTTCAACTTGATTTTTATATATTATAATAACAAACATTTAAATCTACCTCAAATACACAAAGATCAAAAGCATAATACTCATTTAATGATATAAATATTTGTTGATGAGAAGAATAATTATATGTTGTGGTCAATTAATCTTTGGATACACTCTCATAAACATTTATTAAAAATGAAACCGTTCTAATTAAAAGGTTTATTCATTTCTCATACGACTTAAAATAATTCAAATGAGACGTGAGTTTTAACCAATGATTGGAGACTTAAATAAATTTTAATATTACGCTGTGATTATAGACTGAAAGTTGTTTCCAAAATTATTATTTTTAACGCTTTCATAACTAGTCTGAACTGATAGCTGAACATATTTATAACAGTTTGGATAAGCAAACTCTATTATAAACAAAATACAAATAATTGTGTCCATCGGTATAATATTAGTTTAATAATATTTGGTTCAAATTTATTATAACCTCGATCCAGTTAATGTCAAGTTTTTAGTTTGAAATCCCGTTAACATAATAACTTAAACAAAAAGTGAATTCCATATCTTTACAAATTTACGTCGAAATTAAATTGTTCTTTTCAAAGTAAAATGAACTAACTGAATGCACTACCGCTGCCATCTGTCAATTATATTATGTAATTGCATTTTGAATAAAAAGCTTCCTTTGTACTGAATATCACGTTTTATCCCCTGGTTCACTTTTTAGTTTTTCACTTCACATTTCTATAAAAATATTGTTCATAAAAACTCGAATAGAAAGTGAATATTATTTCAAACAGACAATAATAAAATTAAGTCAGCGCTTATCTTTGTCTGTAATTAATCAAGCTATGTATGTAAACCTACTGTAATAGCATTAAAACTTATCATAAACTGTAATTTTATCGAAGGTCAATATTTCATCTGTATTTTACTACTTTTATAAATTTGAAAATTATTCCACTCGTGAAAAATCGTATTTTTTAAGATACGTTTTTAAATGTATTTGTAAGTGTCACAAATAGCATTTCTATTACTTAAAATATGTTATTTATGAAATTAAAAGGTTTTATGACATCCCTCTTGCTTTTTAAAACCTTCCCCCAATAATGAATCAATATTATATACTTAAATTTTATCTTAAAGAATATATTTTTCGGTCTATAAAAGCTATTTTTACTCTATTATGTTGTAGCAAAATCAAATCTCAATTACTGCTATATTTGTAATACTCTGGCCTGTAGCAACTTCAAGATATACATATTTCCTTTCTTAAAGATCTTTTATTATTTTTAAAAATAACTTTCAAATACAAGATAAAGGTTTCTCTTTTCAATAAAGCGTTTCTTCCTAGAGCTCAATGAATATGTCCCTTCACTTCTATATTATTAAAAATAAATAAATCCTATGCTATTGTACTAGTCTGATTTAACCTATCACTTCAACTGATATGGTCATTATCGGTCAATATATAGATAAGAATAATTATGATTCTGTATGAAAATTAAACGACAAAAAATTATAGTATTACAACACGTAAACAACAATAGCGATATCAACTTGAATGCTGACCAAGCTATATTAAGTAATTAACTAAGTGCCAGAGAGCTAGAGTTGCCGCTGGGGAAATACTAAAATTACTAACATATTTCTATGGCCTACGTCTACTACAAAATAATTAAATTAAAATATTGTACTCGAACATGCAACATTCGTGTACAAAATATGTACTTTCAGGAATTAATTGTGTATACCAGTTACAGCTAGAACTATTCAGACAATTTTATTTAAAAAATAAGTATTTATTTATTAAACATATGTTTTTTAAGAATGCTTCGAAAAATAAATATTTTTAATTAAGTTTTGCGTGCAACTTTGTGTAATTGTACCAATTAAGATAATATTCTTTAGATTATATTTATATTGGAATCAAAATGGGTTAGTAAGTTTAATTAAATTATATCATAGAAAGGATAAGTTAAATATACATATCTCACCTGGCTCTTCATAGGATCAGTATTTATTTGGCACATGTAAGTACCAGAGTCCTTCGGCTCTACATTACTGATGTACAACTTCCAAGTATTATGTCCATTATGTGTAACTGACAGCCGTGGATTGAGTGTTACCATGTGAGTATGGATTGCTAATATTGTCTTTGTATCCGATTTTATCCAAGCCACCTGTACAAAGAAATGAAAAACATTAAAGTTTTAAGTTCTTCAAACATTTTCCAATAGAAAAATATTAGTAAATCACCCACCTTGTAGCTACCGAGATGATTTACTGTGCAAGTGAAATGCACATCCCTGCCTTGCGCTACAGTTATGTTCTCAAGGGGGGACAGAAATTCTGGTTCAGCCTCTCCATAGCCCGAACCTTGCAGCTGACCTACAATACCGTTAAGTTATCACTTTAATATCAGAACAGCTTGCAAAGAACATTGTATAGTTTAGCTGTTTTGTTCTCATTTTGTTAGTGCGACGCTAATACAGTTTAACTCGCAGAACGATTTTCAATATTGATAATTAATTTCGCTTTATCCCTAATTTTATGAGCGCGATTTATAGACTCATTAATTATCTAATCTCTACAGTCAAATTAAGCTTTGCTAATTGTTTAGCACTGTTAGTTAAGTACTTAGTACAGAATTTATAACAATGATTTTATAGCTCCCAAAAGATTTTTATGGTGCCTATATCATTTTTGTAAACTAGTTTTAGAACTCAGATTTTTATGAAGAGTTACTGAATTCAGTTTTGATAACGTTTCTGAATTTAAAATGTAATATTTTCGTTATAACTGGATTATATTAAAGATGATTTAACCTACATTCACATAACCTCTTTAGTGATGCCACACTTTTTCAAATATTTCGGTTTTATCAAAATATTTTTCAGATTTTTTCGCCAGCACGTAACCCTGTTTTAATTTCAAACTTATTACTATTGTATAAAGTAGTTGTATAGTTGAAACCAGTGCAATTTCATCACAAAAGTTACCAATGTCAGTAACAAAAAACTCTTAGCATAAATTTACATGTAATCTTTATTGTTTTACTTCTACGATAGGTATAAAATATTTGCGCTATATACATATAAGGAACTTAAATAGAAGGCAATCAAATGTTTTGCGATTTATCCAGTCATTTTTTCATTCTTATTTTTTTTTTCAAATTCCGTACGTAGTATACGGAATACAAATACAATAAATTCTTAGCTGAATAATTCGTATTTGTCAAATTCAATTCAATTCAAAATTCAGTCAATATTAAACAACAATTATAATAATTATTCATACTATATCCACTTGCTTGATAATTATTGTTTGCACATAATTTGAAAGAATAATAAACAGATAAATGAATCAGCTTTATAATCTGTGTAGCCAAATTCAAACAAGAGGAATACAGGTCGAATTGGCCTTTCAATTTGCTTAAAATCGGGTCAGGCTTGTCTAAACAAAACTGGTAAAATTGCTGACAGTGGCGCTTCAATTTACAATAATTTAATAACTGCCGCAACGTGTTTTAGATTTTTTTTATTTACTACGTAGAGAAAAATCCTATGAAGCAAAAAGTTTCGGCTAAAATCCTATTTGAGGAGTTGGTAGTTTCAAATAAACTAAACAAATAAATTTTTTGATAAATATTAATACAAACTACGAGTACGTTTATATAATAAAATAAAATTTTATCAAAAATATATTTAAAACAAACGTTCGTATATTCAATATAAATGCATTTTTATATGAAAAATTTCATCAAGTGACTTGCATATTTACTTTTCACGATATTTATCTTTACAACTGTGCGTCTGGACAATAAACCTATAGCAATTAGTATCTGCCATTTGAAATCGTCGAACCGTTGTACGAACACCCGTGCTTCGGTTTTCAGCATTCGGCCTTCGGTGATTAGGGGCGGGCTCGATTAAAAAGGGTCACACTAAATGTCCCATACTGTGACATCAAAACGATTAATGGCTTGGTGCGGGTTCCAGAGCTCAGAATATTTTCGTTCAATTCGACTAATGCGAAGCTCGGATTTTTGCTTTTTATATTTTTTACCGTGCCGATTTTTTACTGAATTCTAAGCTTGGTTAAATTAAATAGTGATATAAAACTTTATTCGGTGGACTTTTGAATTTTAACCGTATATAGAATACTTTTCCTAGTGTTTAAATACGTTGTTAACATAAAATTCCAAACAAATAATCCAATCTTAATATATGTATGTAAATGAAATCAAGAATGTTTCTAAAACTGTAATGAGTTATTATGTATGAGCAAACATTTGTTAATTTGTAAAATGTATACATATTAAAATAAGTGACATCTTATATTTAAAACCTTAGTTATGATAGTCAATGTGATAATTTTTTAACATTACTAGATTACTATCTGTAAAGTACGAAATCATTGCAATAATTTTATTAAAACGTGTTTAAAGGAAAATTCACAAAAGTCTTCTATATTTAAAGATATATTCTACGTCTGTAAATATTAACAAATATATATCCTTTATATATAAGAATATCGTTCATGAACTCTTATATAATTTATATGTGAAATATTTTTTGATTGTTTGTGGTCTCATGGACTTCTGTTTATTCATTGTGGCTAGTAACAGCTAACATTGTGGCTAGTAACTCATCCATTTAAATTAAATATATGAATTTGGATACGATGTAGTAATTTTAATATTTATAGATGACAGTTATAATGAAATGCGGTGAGAGCGTATTTGTGCCCTCGACGTCAATTAGTACTGTAAAAATTATGGTTATCCTTTTATGTATTTTGAAAGAAAAATACATACATGTATTATGATAATATGAAAGAAATTCAGAAATTGAAATAACGTTATTCCTTATGAATTACATTTTTCAATAGCTGCCCTTAAAGACGACGGTGTTTTTTCCTTTACATCTAATTAATTATTTCAATATTTAACTTGTTACAGTTTTAAGCCCAACGGTAAAACACTATATTGTAACTTTTAAAATGCCTCTTTTGAAAACTAAAAACAAAATTCTGAGGAATCAAATTAAAACGGTGCGTTTAAAAAAATATATTGAATTAAATATCGTAGCGAAAAAATCGAGAACATAGTATCGAGAAAATAATTTTTTTATACAACGATCACTGCATTCCGAATCGGTTGAGTATACTCAATTATGTAATATTATAAAATACCTATAGTAAAATAACTTCGGCAAATTTCTGACGGGGTTATTTAATTGATATTGAAATGTAAACAATTTAATGAATAATATATATATATTTTTTGTAACAATATCATTGATCAGTTACTTAATTAATTTATTAAAATGAAATCATTTTGAATTTATCATTCAGTCATGATCATTCATCAATCATTCGTGATGAATAGCTAATGGATGGAATTCTACTGCTTAACATATTTCTCTCCAATTCACTGTTCACCATTTTGACTTATGTACTCATATATCAAAATAAAAAATTATAACAAATAAAACCTATTAAAAATAAATATTACACCGGAATATAAATTTTTATTTCTAAACATCCTGCCACTTTAAGTATAGAATGGTCAATATTTCGAAAATATACTGTGTATATTTTTGTTTATTTATCAAATATAACAAACGGATGCAGTAAAATTAAAAGCGTAAATATTTTTTTTGTTATATTTTTATTATATTTACAAACTTACACCACTTAGATACTGGTATGATTTTAAAAACTCGTTTTTTAAAACCAAGATATTAAAACAATTAATTAGATAAATGAGGGTGCAGTTATAGAAACGTCAAACCAAGTTTTGTCGTCATGATAAAACTTGAAAATGCAGTTACAGACCCACAGACGCTAGCGAACTTATTTGTCCCACATCCGTAAACTTTCAAAATCAGGTAGGACTAAAAAGGCTTAAAAACGGTTCATAAAAACTTTATCCTGTCGCATTGCAGAACGAAGACCCATCTTGTAATGGAAAAGCACGGTTAACTGCACTCTACTTTAAAACTACCTTCATAAACATCACAAAAATAAAAATCATTATACCTTTGGTAAATCGAAATATTATTTTACCCATAAATATGACAACCGTGTTTTAAAAAAGTTTAACAAATGGATTTAACAGTTTAGATAGAAAGTGTGAAATCTATCAGTTTTGACACAGATTTGTCTTCTTCTTCTACCTGGCAATTTCCCAGCTATGGCCAGGGTCTGCCTTACAGTTTTGGCTATTTGTTTTTACGACCGGCCGCCTTCCTGACATGAACCCTCTTTTGGGAATCAGCATTAATCAGTGATGTCTAAATACTTTTAGAAAGTACATATGATTCGGAAAAATCACATTGGTACTTGCCCGGGCCAGGATCGAACCCGCGCCTTCGTGCATGAGAGGCGGGCCTTTTAAACACTAAGCCACCACTGATTTGTATCTATTGCAAAATTAGATGTAATAGTAACATTAGTGAATTGATTAACATAACATAAATTGTATTTATATTTAATAAAAGGTAATGTGATAACCTATATATTAAAATCAACACCTGTCTTATTTCGACTACAAGAAAGATTCTGAAATACTGTAGAAATGCAACGGAATTTATGTCAATTAATCTCTGATTCCGACAAAACGCTATAGTTCACTATTGTGAAAAGAATATGACAACAGTATAATAGCTTCTCGTTATAACTCAAAATACAATTCAACGAAGACAACTGGAAACCTCAAATATCGGAAAACTCAGAAATGCAAGACTTGTATTTCATAACGTTATACTTACGTATCATATATAAAGCTACGTAAGCTTTAAACATCATTTTTACAGGGGTAAGTAAAATTAAAAAACATTATTTTTGAACGCTTTCATCTTTAAATTCCCTTTTCTTTTGCTTTGCTTTATTTTGTCTATACTACATCTTTTTTGTTTAAATAATTAATTATAATTTATTTTATACCACTGTGACCTGTTTAAGTTGATACTGAAAAGTAGGCGGACTCTTGAACTTTTTATTGCGACTTCAGAACAGAATTTGATATAGCAGATAGTCAAAAGTTCGTATGACTTTTCATGAATAAAAGTATGTTATGTGTAGCTCGGTTATTTTTATTATTGTATATTATAATATATTTTTTCGTTTGTCAGGTAGGAAATACTGAAACTAGAAGTAGCATTTCATATATAATCTGAAAATGTATTATATCCAGGGATCTCTTTGCTAATCCTGTCCACAAATTTCCTAAGAGAAAAAGACCATTTGGCCTTTTAGTTTATTACTTTTATTTATTTAGTGAAGCTTTACAATATTTGCTTTTACAATATATTTTTATTTTCAACAGTTTTACAATTTCTTCAAGGCTAGTGTCAGTGTTATTTATAAGAATTCATTTTCTGTTAAAGACAATGACCAATGTAGAAACTCTGTCTTACATTATTAAAACAGTGGTCCTCTCATTATAGTTTATGTCTAGCAGTTCAACATCTGTCCCAAATTCATAGCCATCGTTGAGGCGAAAAAATCAAGACGAGAGCCTTTTGTTAAGGTTTCATAATAACAACAATAACTACAAAAAAATAGTGAGAGGTTGTCGAATCACATTTTAATTCCGTGTAAATGCCTATAAATGTGAAAAACTATGAAAATATCCAGTCAAAGCTATAAACATACCACTAATATACTCTGATAAATAAACATATATATGTACATACTGACTATAATATAAATACTCTCGTACCCTATCACCTGCTTCTTGATTTATTTAGGGATTATAAGGATTAGGCGTGTTCACCAGTGTTATCCACTATCCACTATACTTTTCCTGTCTTTCCTTCAATTATCTGAAATATGTATCTGTATTTCCTCTATGACATTCTGCCTCGTAATATTCCTTACCCTTAAATATGAAGTCTGATTCCAGACCGCAAATATGAAGGAGTAAACGTGTTTCACATTTATATCTGACTCTTCTATTTTAAATTACTTTAGACAGATGTGTTTAAAATATATATTGTATCTTTTTCGTCTTTCCTTCGTACTAAGTGTTATTTGAGACATAAGTGAAGACTTTTTTTGATTATATAAAAATCATAATATATGAATTGAGTTGAGAAATAAAAAAAAACACATTTATGTTATATAATAGACTAAATATTAAATTTAAACCTTCAAGAAATAAGATTCAGACAAAAATAAGAGTATAATACTTACTTATCTTTTAGGCTTATCTTGCTCTGAAGACTATCATGATTTAAACAAAAGAGTGTAATGTAACTTGTGCTCAAACCGTTATTTCGGTGGTTCTTTCGTTTTTTTTAAATATATAAAACAATCGTATTTACGGGCATCATAATAAATAAACAATTACTACATTTGAAAGTAATTAGAAATGTAAAAGCTATGTGATAAAAATTAATTATCTGCTTTATATTAATTTACATGTGTTTGTAGTTGCTCTTTAGTAAAGTTATTTTTCCTTCATCTCGTGTGTTTTGATTAAAAATATAAGTATATCTAAGTCGTTTTTCTTGCAAACTAAAGGTAAAATTTTGGTTCCTTCCCAAAAATAATTAATAAATAAAACACACCCACCTGTCCTGTATATGTAAATTTATAAACGTTTATTTATAATTTTTAACAAATTTAACACTTTTTAAATACGAAAATATAAATAAAAATAGGAGTAACTTTAACACCCTAGAAATACAAACATAAAAATGTAAAAATAAACGCCATTTAAAAAAGTTTTAATTTTTTTTATTAATTTTTTAAACAGCCCCTTCTTAGCAAACGCAAAATAAGTATTTTAGATTCAGACGACACGTATTTCTATTTTTTGTTTCTTTTCGTGACGCCATATCAGACAGCCACGAGCCAGGTAAAAAATTAAAGGTTTTTTTTTTAATTACAATTTTATTTGAACTCCAAGTAGTAATATTTCTTAAAAACAAAGAAATGTTATCATGAGTATTGTTTATTGTATAATTTAAATGTTGTTTTGAATACTAAGACTTCTTATTCAACAGCTGTATTCAAAGCAGCAACCCGTTAATGCAAATTAGTACAAATAAATTTGGCAATACTTAGATAGAACAAACAACAATAAAAAAAGTGTTACATATTGTTGTGAATAATTTGTCATTCATTACAATTGTAGGAATGAGATATATGTTTTAATAACCAAACATCATTTATTTTATTTCAACATAAACAAAGTAACTTGAATATTTTAGTTCAACTAAAAACTTTTGTAGTTACATACGAGCGAGCTATGCTCTTCTAACACGGAGATTAATAGCATAGCTTAGTTTTAAATGTACGTAATAAAAATTCATCAGTGTTATTATTTCAGACGCTATTTACAAAACAATGATACGTGTTGATGATAAAAGGGAACAGCTTAAATGTCAAGAGAATATAGCCTTGGAACTTGCGAGTTAGCCAACTGTATCAAATGAAAATTAATAACCCTGCCTGAGTGCATGTTTCTCTATCACGCTGATAAATGTACCCATGACGTTTACTTACGAAAAACGCCATACTTTTATTTATTTTGCATAAGGTTAAATCATTTGAGTGAACAAAATTCATTTAAGTAATTTAATATTATTTTTAGTTTTATATTTTTACACACAATATAATTAACATATATTATATAGAAATATTCGTTTATAAATCAAAGTCTTTACGACTATTGAATTGAAAATTAATAACTTAAAGCAATGGTCGGCACACTAACTTTAACGAGCCTCGAGCTCGTTTATCACGACCTACGACCAAAAGCTTTAATATATGATATGAGACTACAGTTACAAATGAAAAAATTTAATCCCAATTTTATGCGAATAAAGGTACTTTGAAATATTTTATTTTTATACAAAATTAAATTACCCATTTAAAATGTATTACTAAGTACAGGTATAATAGTTATTTGAGTATTGAAAGTAATAGATTTTATTTAAATATTAACCTAGGAGTCGATTTTGTTCAATTTATAGCTTTTAAAGTATGAATGAAGGAAGGAAGAAAACAATCCAAGTATCACATTGTACATTATGTGTTTTACTATAAAATCATAACAGAAAATTATAGTTTTTATTTCTGAAACAAAATTGTTATTTTTCTTTGTTGTCATTCATTCAACGTGACTAAGTTTTATTCAAAATATGTCATTGTCGTCATTTCGTATTTGGTTGCAACTCTATCCGATTACGTATTCCAATTATTCAGTATTTCACGCCCATCGACGCCTATAATTACATTCTGATAGAATTGCATTAAATCCAACGAGAAATCGTTTACTAATTTCCATATAATTTATCCAATGATTAGCCTTAATTCAGTGTGGTTTTTAATGTATCAATTACAAAACGGATTATTTACGTTCTAAAACCGTTTCAATTTAGGGTTGATAATGAAAGAACGTGGAATTTGCCTTGGCCACCGAGCAGAGATGAGTTGAATGCTTGACAATTAAAAGAAAAGGTTATATAAAGTGTTTTCAATTAAAGTTGGAATCCGCTAAGGCAACTGTGCGGGCTTCTAACGTCAAGCGTGCCGTTACGTGCGAGAATCTGGGGTATTGCAGTGCATTGTACATCCGTGTAGACAATCATTTAAGTAAAACAATTTTGCTCGTTCATGTATCCCGTCGCTAGTTTTATTTTATTATTCAATTACTTACAGGAAAAGCGGTTTGCTAGCCGTTTTTGTTTTATTGATAGCAAGCCATTAAAAATATTTCTGAGTTTTTTTTGCATTACATCCTTAAATTACTTTTAAATACTAAGAGTTCTGTTTAATCCTCAACATTTATTAATACTCCAGTCTGCTGATCACAGTATTTCAAGTAGACCAGTGATCAGAACGAGATTTACAAGCGCCAACATTAATTTATTCAGCACTGGCTGGGGAAAATTAATGTTTTCTCTTCTTCTGTGAGGCGTGAGGAGTGAGGATGGGATATTAAGCTTTCCATCGGGTTGGCTATTAGTAAAGAAACACTTAGTTGCTTGCTTTAACCTTAAAAAACGATATCTGTAACATTTTGTAAACATTTGTTTAGGGTCTGTTAAAACATTTAACTTTTATAGATATTTAAATGGAACTAGATTTAAGATTGAAATTAATTCATGGATATATTGGAAATGTTTAGAATTTTTATTTTTTACCACATAATAATATTTATTTATTTACTAATCTTGCATTTATGAAAATTATTATGTCAATATATTAAATATTATCATTTTGTAGTATCTCATAGCTGTGCAATATTTTTCCTGCATTTTACTTCGTAAAGAGACGTTTTTGATAATCTTTACTTGTACTCTTTTCTACATTCTATGTCGAACTAATAAGGACTTGATCCTTAAAATGTAAATAAAATTCTTCGGTTAATCTGATAATAATTAACACATGTGTATGAAAAAAATGCAGTACCACAAGTCTCTATCTATGATTTAGCGAAACATGACAAAGTACTATTGAGTATAATATGTAATAAGATAATGAAGAAGGTTTTGTATGTGATTAATGTATTAAGATCTCAACGTGCTTAGTAGGTTTTATCTAAAAACTACATTAAAAACGTTAGTAGATCAACTTGCATTGCCTAAAAAAATATATATTATTATATTTTACATAACCAAATATAAATCAAATAAATTTATTAATCAATACAAAAAATATATTAAAAATATTATTATAAAGTCTATGTAAATTAAAAACTATAAATTAACCTTATTGAATCAAAATCCTAGATGCTTAAACTAGTTTATGTAAGTCTTAAGAAACGTATTGCATTATTTTAATGTCTAATTTATTCTATTTATCTAGTAATCCTAAACAATTTCATTTTGATTAAATGTATATTACACTACTTATCCATAATAAGCATTGTCTTTTTTGTTAGAATTATATGTTGTACAAAATATCACAAGGAATTAGTAATGCTATCTAAATGGCTGTTTTTAAAGAATATTCTTATAAAATGAATAAAAATAAACACAAGAACACACGAATGACAAGTTGACGACCATTATTCCCGTGAAAGTCTAGAAATATTGAGGCGAGAGTTACTGACACAGAATGGTCAGCATTGACCCCTTTCTATTATTCTGTTATTTTAATTAAAATAAGTAGGTCTGCAACAGTAAAAATTTAAGATAATTCTCTAAAATCCATAATAAAATCTATCATAAGCACTATTAAATAAAACATCGTTATCGTAATGGAGGGTAAAGAAAAACGTAAACAGTTACTGATACAATTATAAAATTAAGATTAGACTTTTTCATCAACTATTAGAATTATTAGAATAATTTTATATAGGTAGTTTTCAAAGGATTTACTAAATTGGAAAGTGACCTTTGTGGGAACAACATAACTTATTAATTGTACAATTATTTAAGTATATTTGAATACTATTGTCTGGAAGTGAGTGAATACACATTAATATTTTCTATAAACCGGTAACTTTTAAATTATTTCGCAACAGACAGTTATTTCAAATAGACAACAGACAACTTTTTCGCAATAATATAATAAGCATAAGAGAAATTCCTGAACAATTTTTTATTCCTTCATTTTATTACTGTAATTTTCAGTTACCTCAAGGGAAGTAACAATTATGAGTTTGTTTTTGTCACAAAAAAGGGATTAGGCTCTACATAATTTAAGTTAAAATAAAAAGATTTTTAACGTCATAGGCACATAAGAATGATTTTAGTATTTATTAAAATACATTTCTTACTTTTTAAGTGTATATTATTTGAAAATTAAAAATGGTATCCAAAGCTCTTATGTGCGAAATCTACTTCATTAATCAATACTACTAGTTAACGTACGAAACGCTATTTCGTGGATATCGTTTTCCATTACTGCTTGCGATAAGTGGAATGTCACACCCTCATTCTTAAAACAATAGAAGCGCGTGTAAATGGGATTCGATATCGTATTTTTAATTCACTTTGTAGTAAGTATAGTAGTGGTTTTCTAAACTTATGTTTAATTTACATTATGTTAAGTATGCAAATTTTTCTTCAATTAAATTTTTATTCACTAAATTCTTAATAAGTAACGCGGATTGCATTTACACGTATGATACTATGATGATACTGATTTTTACACTCACCTGCAACTATGGTGAGAAGGGCGAATGTAGAAACTAAAGGTAATCCCCCGGTTTCCATGGTAACAGCTCGAGTTGGTCTCAATATTTCCCCGTTCATATCATCACACATCTAAGTAGAATTTATTATATTTGCTTCCTTATCCGTTCTTCAAATTAAAGCAACAGTATGCTAAAATAGTACATCGTTAAATAAGTGAACTTTATTCTTGTCATATCATTAAGAATGCACCTCTTTGTTGGATCTGAAACAATAAAACAAACTTTTTGTTATAAAGCAATCTCCAATGCAGTTTTGCAAGCCAAATACTGGCTCTTCATTTTACAACTATTGTTAGAACAATGACTTTCGTTTCGAAGACTTTCAGTGCTCTAGAACCAATCCTTTTTAAATTAAATTTATTATTCTAAATTAATTACAAATTATAAAAGAAAATCTAAATTAAACACATAATTTTTTTAATCTAAAAATAATGTTATGCATGAATTTCTAAAATTTGGACAATATATTTTGCTTAAAAAAAATATTATTTCTGTCTGAAATAGAGTGAAGTATGGTAGTTACATAATGAATTGAAATATAAACGTCAAAGATTATTTTTTTTGTAATATGTTTTAAAACCTAAAAACAAAAATGTGATTATAAGAAAGAAAAGATTCAAAATAGAACTTAAAAGAAATAAAAAAATAGTATTATATTTCATATCTACAAATAAAACATATGTTATTGAGGAACAGCTTAACGGATTTGATTGTATGACAAATAATACGTGCTTAATATAACCGTTCTCCGCATTAGGCCTTTAAATACTAGCCTACAGAAGATTGTACGTATTTCAAGTTTACATATGTGTACATGTAGTTTTTTATTACGCCAGTTTCCGCGGCACAACGTGAGCAAACTGAGATAAAACAGAAATGATTGCCGCTCTGTCGGTATATTGTTTTAAGTGTTTTGTTCCATTGAAACTCCTCTGTATTTTTTATTCATGTATAACAAATAGCGATCCGTTAAATGAGAAACATTCGACCCGGTAAGTTGCTTAATTAACGTCGGACGCCGAGCTTTGATGCTATTTTCATTAAGCATATACATAGATGCATAAATTAATAAATACTTCTACTAATCTAAATGCTTAAATACTTTAGAATCAGATTACCTATTAGAGTAGGTAAGTAATGTTGATGAAAAACTTTCAATTTTCATCATTCTTTTGGATAACGTTATTTTGTAACATAGAAGTTATTCTTCATTAACATACATACAGTATAAAACTAGAATGGGTCATGATAATTAATTATTGACGTAAGTATTGCTCAGGACATGGAATTTTAGAGAAGGCGTTAATATCGGAGGAGTGTTATTTGGAGTGGAATATAGTTTACACTGTTTGGGTCTATCAATTGAAACATGCTCTCATAGCGACGGCATCTTTGGCGTACTGCGCGACAATAAACAATACAAACAACCCTGCCCTGCGTTTGACACCAGCCCGTTCGAAGTGGATTAGAGCGCTCTACAGGGAGTTCGGCAGCATTTAGGGAACGTAATAGCCTTCCGCCGTGACCTGTTTTAGTTGCGACAAATAGAGATTTACGGGATTGCCTCTCGGGATTTTCAAAGGGAAATCGTTCTTCTTAATAAAATAGAATGGCGTTTACTTTTCGGTTTTTTTATTTGAAACCGTTCACCTCTTTAAAAGTGTTATTCAATTTATAACTTTTATAAATCCACAAACGTATTGTTAGCTGATTCTGTACTCGTTCGAGAAAGCATCCAACAAAAGTTTCAACAATTTTATTTCCCTTGAAATATGTCCCTAAAATTTTTGGACAAAAAGTATAAATGGAGCCTATTGCGAACATTAATAAAAAGGATGAAATGAAAATATATCCATTTGGGACTTTTTGTGTAAGATATTTAAAATATGATAAAATTTTGTAATGCTTACAACATACTAAAATGTTTGATTTAAAGGAATGTTTTGAATTCAGAACATGTTTTCAGTATATAATCCGGAGGAAGTAAATACATAATCACCCTTAATATTAGAGAAGGATCTCGAAGACATTTCGCCGCTTAATAATTTTACATTTGTATACAAAGACGCCGTGTTCAGTTATCTCCCGAGTGCCACACCACCGATACGAGTCATCCAACCCCGACTCGGCATTCCATTGTCATATTTACATTGTATATGTTCAGAATTATGATTGAATCCGAATAGAAACACTACACGCAATATAGCAATTACACTTAGACCCAAGACACATCCACGTATTATGATTCCATTACTGTTAGATTGTGATAGAATTTACACATTTGATTCAGTTAAATTGAATTTCTCTTTGTTTATTTGCTCGGATCACTTTGATCCAAGAAATAGTGCGCTACGTATGGTAATGTGAAAGTGAATTCGTTTAAAGAGAAAAAAGACGAAACAAAAGAATATGTCGCTTCTGAATAGGAAATAAATTTCGTTATTTCTTTACATTTTTTGGTATAAATAAGAAGCAATATAGGAAAATCAATATCCATAATGTTGGTAGTGCACTGAAAACTTCGGAAATTAAAAAAATATAGAGTGAAATGAGGGTTGAGACATAAATCCCGTCCTGGCAAAAGGCCAAAGAACTCAATAATTGTCAAGATAACTTAAGACACTTCATTGGTTACAAAAAGCCTCTTCAGTTAAAGAAGTCAAATTGACTGAAAAAAAATCAATGTTTCAGATTTTCTAATCTAACACTAACCTATTAAATTTGTAATCATATAATATATGTATGACATATGACTCTATAGAGACAAATCTAAATCGTGAGGTACAATATATAAAGCTATAAAAAGATGATCTATTTAATACCTAAAAAAAGTAACAAACCTCAATTTAAGGTCACGTCCTAACTTAGAGACACGAAAGTATACCGCTTCACGCCACTGTCTTGGCCCTTAATGGCCCCTACATGCACAATCACTTATCGCTCCAGGGTAGCACTTCGAGGGCTCGTCTTCTCCCAATACCTTTACGACATATGTAAATATCTCCCGATTTATCTTAAATATGAGTTTCATTTCCATGATTTTCATTTCCATCGACCATCAGAAGTCTCAAGCTCAAGTCGTAAAAGCTTAATCAAAGTAATATTAACTCTTTACCTGAAGGTACCCGAATTGTAAGTGGAAGTGAACACAGATACAAACAAACTTTTCAAAACTCGTGCTATGCATATGCGAAAAGAGCAAGGAACAAGCAGATTACTTCGTCCAGATGCGTAGAAGGTCTAAAGTTGGTCTCCCCATTAGTCAAGTCATCCAACAGAAAGGGTAAGAATGAAAGAATAAAGTCATATTTTTATCCCATAAAATACTGAAACTGGTCACTTCAGGCTTGTGCTCAAGACTTTTATAATGGGTCTTGCGTTTGGTCATTCAAATTGTGACTATCATTAAGTTACTGCAACTCTTCATTGAAGCAATTATACCCGCCTTTCTTAGAGTTTTTTTTTTTGTATAAAGGTCTGTTATTTTAATGAATACAGTACTATCACCGTTTATTAGCATAACCAGTTCATTCTAAATAGGGCATTGTTATACATATATTATCGACCATATAAAATCGCTACTGAGTGTCTTGCGGAACGAGGAGAGTGTAAATTATCTTATAAGTAAACAAACATTCAAAACTCTTACACATTAAGTCCATTATATATTTATAGTATTAAATATTCTGATCACAGCTGCGTATTAAAATGGAGGCTTAGAAACTCAACTACTATAGCGTGAAGAGTGACAAAGTTAAAAAAGTTCTCAATTAATTACATTCATTGCGGCAAAAACTTCGCTCGTTAACCAACAATTCCCTTAAATTCTCATTCAATTAAGTGTTGAATCCCTTTGCCGAAGTTTTATAAAGAGCTAGTGACCTGTCACTTGCATGCGATTTTTTGTGGTAACGTAGGAACAGAATACTAAAGAGATTGTGGTTTTCAGGGTTCCGAAACTAGAAAAGTTTGTTGGAAAAAAAAACTTTACACGCAAACATCTTTTTCTTCTTTTTTAAATCTGTCTAAATGTCAAAATCTTCATCCCAAAAACGTGTGTTGATTTCAAATCATTACAAAATAGCTAATGTACAATTTCTTGAAACTTTTACAAATATTTACTTTTTTTATACATTCCTATATACAGAAACATTCGCTTTCTTTTAATACTTCAAAAGGAAAATCATTATTATCTTCAATCTTTAATCGTAATCTATTCACCGGTAGCTTTAGGTTATCCAACGCTGTCTGTCTAGTTACGGTGGGCTACGTAGGTGGGATATGGTGATTAGGTTCCATATCAAATAGTCTCAGTCTTTGTTTTAGTTTTTACTTTTATGCTTTTTTTTATTAATAATTAATTTAACTAAATTTTATTAGATTACCTGTAATAAATATCTTTATTGAAAATGTACATAGAATAAATAAAAATTAGACTTTACTAAAAGTTCGTTTTTTATATCATTATATATTTTTAAGCTTCGAGCGTTTAATATTCTATGAAAAGGATAATATCAAGTATCCAAAATGTGTAATAAATAAAAAGAATACAAAACCCGAAAAATCAACACTAAAAACAAAAATTAATTGTTGAAATTAAGTTTATATGTATTTCAGACGTCTGTAGTTGTGTTCGTATCACGCCTAAACTGCCAGCTAGCTTTCGGAGATGGATTTTTTTAGGATTTATGTTATAGATACTCTGTCTTTATCTTAAGAAAAAAGTGCAATAACTCAATATTGCCAAAAGATAAAGTGTAATAATACAATGATTTTTATAAGCATCACGTGTTCTGTCAAGTGTATTTTCCTGAAATAATGTTTATATGAAATAAACATTAAAGAATATGGACAAGTCGCGTATCATGCTTACTATAAATATAACACTCAAACCTATTATGGGAAATTTTAATTTAATTTACTGCTTAACCGTTCAAGTCAATCGTTCAAGTTAAATTTTGAGGTGGTAGAGCCTAGCTGTGGTCAATTCACTACAGCTCGAACATGGGCTGGCTCGACCGGGGAAGTACCACCCTCTCACAGAAGATCGGCGTGAAGTAGTCAATAATGACTGCGTTTCGTCCGATGAGTGAGAGAGCCGGTTGTCCTTTCCCTATTCCCAACCTTTCCTTATATTTCCTTATTCCCACCCCTCCCTTTTCCCCCACAAGTAAGGTTGGAAACGCATCCGCAACGTCTATGTTGTGGATGTCCATGGGCGACGGTCACTACTGACCATCTAGTAGGCCGTCTGCTCGTTTAAAACCTTTGACATAAAAAAATAAGTCCATTATATTAGAAGTTAAATACTAAATTATCACACTTTAATATTCCGTGACAAAATACATTGATCGTTCACTGTTTATTGTTAAATGCTTATCACTCGCTACGTCTATAACAAAATTTCGGATTGTTAAGATATATAAATGATTAAAATAAGTATTTTTAAAATCATTTCATTTATTTTTCAAGAATTAAAAGCACCAGCCGAACAATAACTAGATGGTATTATACGTAGGTGTACGATCTTTTTGTATGAGGATTCGTCTAGACGGTCACAATTACTCTTATAAAGAAGCTAAACAAAAAGCACAATGACAATCGTAATATCTGTAGAAAAACACTGCGATTCGGAGAAAACGAAATAATAAACAGCATTAAACAATGAATTCATATTTGTGTTGATTATTATTAAAGGGGACGCGTATTGTAAAATCTTCGTTACAGATTATTATTTGGGTTAAAATTTGTCAAATAATTGAAAATATCGGAAACACACTTAAAAAGATTTGAACATAAAGTTATATTTATGGTAAAATGTTGCAAATATGTAGAGGTTACTGATTGAGATAAGTGGCTACCATGATCTATGACAGTGTAGCTACAAGTGTGTCGTCTCTTTGAACAATAGGTAGTAGTTTACAGAAGAGAAGGTAAAGGGATAGGTGAGGCAGCTATAAAACATTTTCTCAAAGTTTTTAAGGACATAAAACACCACAGCCAACTTAAGACCTACAGACTATAATGCGCTATTAAAAGTTCGGTACATTTTGTTTCGAAGCTAATGCGTTGCGTTAAGTAACTGATTGAACTTAAGTCTTAAGTACTTAAGGAAAACTTTTGACACGACCTATAAACACTCCCGCTGAGTTTAATCGTGGAGACTGCGCATGTTGACGTAAAAGCGTTTTGTTACATATTTTTATATGTCATTAATTAATTATTTTAACAAAAATTGTTTGAATATAATGCCATCAACGAAACTTATACTTCATAAATTAACACTACGTAAATTTATTTAAAATTACTGATTAAAAAGTCATTCATTAAAAGAGGTAGCCACAACATTCTGAAATTAATATCCCAGCTGTTAAATCACACTATACGGTTTTTATAAAATTCGTAAAGTGATTTATTGCCTCCACCGACGACGGTTTATTTCCTATTTTTCAATAGACTTTTTTCGAAAACACATTCTAATCGGTATCCTTTAAAGTAAT